TTCATTGAGCTTCCAGTGGCATTAAGAACGTATGTTAGGAGATTCGCACCTTAATATAACCAGACTAAATTATTTAAGTATACGAATGTTAGACTATCCTTACATGACCGATTTAATTGAAGCGAACTCGATAGGACATGAACATCACCTAGTCGATATCTACAGCGCCTCCTGGGGGCCAACAGATGATGGAAAACCCGTTGATGGACCAAGAAACGCTACCATGCAAGCTTTTGTACAAGGAGTAAACAAAGTAAGACATGAAAAAAAAATCACAGTAAGTTATACTTCAAAGAAGAGATAAATACATCAGGTCAAATAATGAATTGATCTTAAATTTTATCGGTCTTGGGGAGGAACCATAAAGAAGAGAAGAATAAATAACTAATTAGTATTTATTGCTAAATAAGGCTTGGTTAATACTGTTTTATTCATACTGATATGCAAGTTTGATAAATCTAATAGAACACTATCGATCAAATTATTATTTAGATAATAATAATAACAACATAAGTCATATAGCCTAATATTAGAAATATGTATTGTTACGTCTCCGTTCGTTAATTTAATTTTCCGTAAATTCTTTCCGACTAAACTTTAGCGACACAAGTCCTTTCTTAAATAAAACTGGTTTATTCTTTCCGAATACAACTTTACGATACACTTAATTTCAACAGTCGCGCTATAACAAACGTCTCACGAGCTCGACTTCAACAATACTCCGTTCAACTACACACTCTCTGACTGCAGTTCAATTACTCATTACCTTGTTGTTCCATCACGTTGTGACCGTCTTATATATATACAAGACTAACACATATCTAGTAAATGCTAGGGCATTCTTGAAGGAACAGGATATTTCTAGAAAACGTAGCGTGATACTAGTCACGTGACCTCGCTGACGCAACAATATGTTAATTTTGAACATTTCATTGCACTCTATGTTGATGATACTAGCTAGATTCAGTAGTGATATAGTAGAGAAAATGTAAAATAAAATATAAAAATTTTTCTTAAAAAACTTTTGATATTCATTTATAAGGTTCTAGAGATTATGCAAATGAAATGTGAAACTGTAAGATAAAAAATGGTAATTTTATACATATAAAAATCACCTTGCAGGTGAACTATTCAGAGTCTGAATGCAAATAGCTACATTAAATAAAGAATCTTTTATTAAAAATATTAGAAAAAAATCAAAATTGAATATTTTATTTTTCTGAAACGACATGTTTTTTTTTAGAAAAATTATTGTCAAATTTAATCCACTAGTTTTATCTTTGGAACGTAATATAAAGATTGCGACGTTACGTGCTACAGTGCATAGCACGTTGTTGGGAAGGGGTTAACTTAAAAGGATCATCAGTATAAGGTGTTTTTCAGATGCTTTTGAAGGTTGCTTCTTTTTATCCCTCACACCAGTCCCTCTTCAGTGTGGGATTCTAACTATATATATGAGAAGAGGTAATGTACCGTATCGAAAGTTATAGTTTTCCTATACTGAAAATATATTTGTGATAGGTATTTACCTCCTATCACAATTCCCACCTGTCCTCCCCACTGAAAACTGGTGCTTCCTTTTCTGACTAAACTCGAAGTGATAGTACCGTAGAATAGAAAAGAGGGAGTCACATGTATCAGGATGGTGTGTGACACTCCTATTGGGAGGGTTGTCTCATGATAATTTGCATGCCAGATACAGTTGAACCTCGATAATCGTGGGGTAACTTATACAAAGGTAACATAGTATAATATTCTAAGGTGCCTTGATTTCCATTGATGAGTCAGGTTGGAGCCCCAAAATAACAGGAGCTTTCGACAGAAAATATGTTATGGAGTGAATCTGTATTTTCTAATCTTGACTGAGTTTGAAGCAAAGAAGAGACTTGATATGAGTTAAATGCAGTGAAACAGTCTGTATTCACACAGGTCTTTGAAAAAGATGTCATGAACCATTTCATCATCAACAAAAGTCTAATATCCAGGAGAGGACTTCTTCTACATCTAGCAGCTTTCTCTGACAGCCATCTATCTAGCTTCAGTGTCTAACTTCTTCAATATTTATTTACCACTCAAAGCAATCAAAGGTACCTTTACTGAAGAGCTCTGTGGTGTATCACAGATCTTTCTGTAAATCTGTATACTTCTTGTTCCAAACTGAGAAAAAATGGCACTATGTACATAAAATAAAAATGCCATCATTCTCTGGGCTTGTGTGCTGATTGAAGGAACTGTGAGGAAGTTTCCCATAGCAAGAATAAAAGTAGACACTCCATAATACATGTGTATGAGGCCATTTGTATAAAAGCACCCATCTATGACTTGGGGATTGGAAATATACCAGACAGCAGAAGTTTGAAGGAACCAGACAGAAGCATCTGCAATCACCACTAGAAAAGAAGAGCAAACCACTGCAATCTTGAAAGGTGACACCCCAAATGTATGTTTACGGGAACTGAAGGAAGTACAGAAGAAAGACCCTTCACAGCAGAAACTTTGGGACAGTGTCAGGAAGGAGGTGAAGCACAAGATCAAAGGGAAGAGGACCTACAAAATAAAAGATCAAAAAGGAGTAATGTACCAGATCTAGCAAAGCAGTTCTACTGGGGAAGCTTAAGACATCAAAGGCAGTCTAAAGTACTTTTATGACAAGAAGGCCAAGGATCAACATTTCAAGGTCAGACAAAAGATCTTGGTTCTGCTACCTATGGATGACAATAAATTCATCCTGCAGTGCAAAGGATCTTTTGAGTTGCATGAAATGGTCAACAGAATGGACTATAAGGTGAAAGTGGATGGGAAGACAAAAATTTACCACATCAATCTGTTGAAGAGGTACTTTGAGAGGAAAGAGGACCTAACTGGTGCAGCTGTTGAGGCACAAATGATATGGCTGTCATAGATGCAGAACCAGAAGACAGTGACTTTGTCATAGACGACTAAGACCTAAGACCACTAGGTGGAGATGATACATACAAGGCCATCAATTTAAGTGAAGAACTGACTGGCAAACAGAAAATACACCTACAAGAGCTACTGTGCCTGTACATAGATGTCTTCACAGATAAACCAGGCAAGACAAACCTTGTGCAACACAATATCAAGACTACAACCAGCGATCCTGTCAAGGTGAAGCCCTACGAGATGTCCTATGCATTGAGAGGCCAACAAGGGAACTGCAAATGTTGGTGCAGAACATATGAAGAGATTTTGTGTATGAACTGTAAACAGTCTTTGCATATAGTGTAAAACCATATTGTAAATATTCTTCTTGAAGAGGGGCTTATTGTTAGATATACACGAATGTTTCATTTAAATTTAATACAAGAGTATAATTTAGATAGTTATAAAGCATGAGTCTTAAATTTAGTACTTTTCGAAGTGATAATTTATTGCAGGTTTGCTTACTTAATTTTTTACAAATCATTTGTTGTGTAGTTCAATTGCTGTGAACTGATGTCATGTTACTCAAACCTTCGAAAATTTTCTCATTGCTTTAAGTGTGTATTGTTACATCATAATGTCTAGTAGTTAGTACAAAGTTGTAGGCCTCAGTTGGGCAATATGTATATATAGGTGACCAAGTTAGTGCAAGTAAGTAAGGAAGTTAGTGAAAGTGACAATAAAAGTGAAGTTAGACTGCGTGTTAATTAGCCATAATGGGTGATTACTAAAGTGAGTTTCACAGCTTGTATAGTAATAACAGAAATAGTTCAGAATAATTTGTCTTGTCAAAGGGTGTTCTAAGGTAATTGAACCACCTATGTGGATTTTTACAAAAAGGAGACAAATATTTAAAGCTCTGGATACAACTACGATAACCAGTGCTGTAACAAAATTTTGTAAATGCGTTTATCTTGTTTTGAATGTATTATTTGAAAAGAAGTGGATTGTGTGCTATCCATTTATTCTGTAAAGAATCTGGCCCTATAAAACTTGATAAGAATCTAATATGACTGGAACTACATTGTCACTGTTTTTTTATGTACAGTATTGTTGCGTCAGCGTGTCACATGACTACTGTGGCGCCCTCTAGTTTCTAGAACTATCTTGTTTCTTCATGAATGCTCTAGTATTTACTAGATGGGGTAGGCGGGTATATATATAAGAGGGGACAACGTGACGTGGGTAATGTAATGTGTGTATAGACAGTGAGTAATTGAACTGCAGTCAGAGAGCACGAGAGACGTTACAGCGTTTGTTTAGCGCGATTGTTGAAGTTGAGTGTATCGGTAAAGTTGTATTCGGAAAGAATAAACCAGTTTTATTAAGTAAATACTTGTTCGCTAAAGTTTCATCGGAACGAAGTTACGGGAAGTTAATTAACAAACGGAGACGTAACAGTATTATAGCACATGCCCATGACCTGATGATTTCTTGCTGATTTTCACCACCCTCCCATTGTTCATCTATGCAACCTTACAAAGATATAGTTAATTCACTTGATATTTTTGTTTGCAGCATGGCTGTTTGTATTCTATGGTCTTTAATGATATAAAGGTATATTTATACATCAGAGTTATTTAGATATAACGTTAAAGAGGTGGTTGAAATTTGTGCTTTTATAAGCACTTATTTATTTATTGACATGATGTATATTATGAAATCATTAATCTCAATGATAAAACTAACAAATTGTTTTACTAACTGCTTTCTTATCGGTTCATTTAGCGCATTAATCTTACCCTGAGGGCTAAAGTAATTATTTTCTTCCACTGTACCATTTGTTCTCCAAGAAATTAGTAATTTAAAAGGTAGTACACAAGTCTAACATACTAAAATAATATTCTATACTTTCTGAAAAGTATAATATTAATAATAAGTTACTCTTGTCCTATTACAAATTACTGTGTGTCATGAAGTAATTTATTTAAAGGAGAAGGAGAAGTGACTAGATTATCTTTTTTAGAATGTTGCACTCTTATGTTCTTAATTTAAGATTTAAGTTTTTCAACATTTCTATTATAACTGGTTAATGATAGTGAGTTTTACTTTTTCAGTTTTCCATGAATTTTTACGAACTATGAAGAGACAGTTATGTTTCATACATTTGGCTCAGGTAAGTACTATATTTCAAGAGTGCTAGATTTGAGTCATCATAACAAAACAGAAGGTGAATTAAGGCAAAAAAACAATAAATTCTTCAAATATACTCTCAAAAATAGTAACTAATGGAACACTGATAAAGGCACAAAAGAGTTATGATAAAATTAATAAATTTTAGTGTTTGCTTTTAAAACAAAAGTACATGACAATGGCTATCTACTCTGTAATTTTAATGCTTAAATGCATTCACACCTGTGCTCCTCAATAAACTTTGTATGAAATGTTCTTTATTCTAAAAGTATTGAGTTTGCAAAAACGTTTATTGTTTTATCACCACATCAGCAAAGTTTGAACACCTGTAACTGGTAATACAGTAACGTTTAGCCAGTTGCAAAGATATGGTGATCACATACACTTGCATTGATAGCCTTTTCAAAATACAAGGTATCACTCAGAACTAGAAATATGATTGAGAGAAACATTTTTATGACTTTATGCTTAAATACAAATTTATGAAGGATGATTATAAACATTTAGAAAAGTTCACAAACATTTGTCAGAATCAACTGAACAAAATGTAGAGCATTCTCTGAAACATTTGTAATAATCAACTGAACAAAATGTAGAGCATTCTCTGAAACAGTTGTCAGAATCAACTGAACAAAAGGTAGAAAATTCTCTGAAACATTTGTCAGAATCAACTGAACAAAAGATAGAGCATTCTCTGAAGCATTTGTAATAATCAACTGAACAAAAGGTAGAGCATTCTCTGAAACATTTGTCAGAATCAACTGAACGAAAGGTAGAGCATTCTCTGAAATCAGGTGATGTTCAATAGCATTTTCTTGCTTATTGTGCAAACCTAAAGTTTTTGATTTTCTGAAAGATTACTGCTGTAGAGTAAGGTAGAAGTTATTATGGTTATTATGTTCTTCCAAATTCACCATATAAAACATGTTGCAAAAAAAAAAAAGAAATTGGCATACAATAGGGAAAAGCACTATCAAAATTTATGAAGATTTGTCTTTTCTTTTTTTTTTTGGTTTGAATTTTGAGCAAAGCTACACTAGGGCTATCTGCATAAGCAGTCCTTAATTTAGCAGTGAAAGACTAGAGGGAAGGCAGCTAGTCCTCACCACCCACTGCCAACTCTTGGGCTACTCTTTTACCAACATATAGTGGGATTGACTGTCATATTATAATGCCTCCATGGCTGAAAGAGGAAGCATGTTTGGTAGGATGGGGATTCGAGCCCGTGACCTACAGGTGGCAAGTCAAGTACCCTAACCACCTAGGTATGTTAGGCCATTGAAAAATTGTCAGCCTATATAAAAAAAACTCCAATACTTGAAAAAATGTATATAAAAAAGAAAAGAAGAATACTTTAGTATTACCAAAGTATATCTGTGACTGTACATTACCATAGAAAGGCTTTATCTCAAACAAAGTGAAAAACATACACACAATAAGCAATAAAACTAAACAGATATAAATTGTCAAACATACTTAAGAAAACATAAAATGTATATAAAAAAAAGAAGCGTTCTTTAGTATTACCAAAGTATATCTGTGACTGTACATTACCATAGAAAGGCTTTATCTCAAACAAAGTGAAAAACATACACACACAATAAGCAATAAAACTAACCAGATATGAATTGTCAAACATACTTAAGAAAACATAAAATGCATGAAAAGATGCATAATAAAATTTGTGAAGGGGAAGGTCAGAAGACGAAACTTTATTTTTTAAGATTTTTTTAACATAGCATATGTGCAGTTCAGTTAGCAAAAACTTAAAATTCTCTAACCAAAAGATTATAAATGTTAAGTGAATGTGTAATAGGGTATTTAAGATATTTTCAAATAAATTAATGTTACAGATTTTTTGAACCACCTGCCTAAATAGTTACTGATTTCTTCTCTTAACAGTTGTGCAAACTTGAATAGAGTTCTTTAAACAAATGTTTAAACAAGTCTGTTCAACTATTTATCAGTTGCCTAGTGTTGGCTAAAAATATGAAGAGTTAAACTGTGGCGGAATGCTACAAGTTCTTCAAATACCTATAGAATGATAGGTT